CATTAGATTCCTAGCAACTCTGGGCAATTAACACATTGTTAAAACCATTTAAAAACAAGGGACCAAAACAAAAAGGAACAAAGATAGTAGATATAGCAAACCCAGATGGGAACAAAGAAAAAAAAGGGGGGCTTTAATCACACTTGCCAAAGGCCTGGGCAAAAAGCCAGATCTTCAGGATCCTTCAAAACACAAGTAGGGTGGCATTCCAGAGGGTAGGCACTGCTACAGAGAAGGTACGCTTCCAGATTCCTGTTATATGGCATTCTTTAAGTGAAGGAACCCAGAGTGTGCCAACCCTGCCAGATCAGACTGGCTAGGCAGATACTAGGGAGACAGGTGGTCCCCCAAGTAACCAGGCTGTATGCCATGTAGGGCTTTATAGGTAGAGACCAGGACCTTGAATCACATCTGGAAGCAAACTGGCAACCAGTGCAGCTCATGAAGCAGAGGTGTTACATGGGCATACTGAGGCATGCCCATCACTGACCACACCTCTGCATTCTGGATCAGTTGAAGCTTCTGGGTAGTCTTCAAGGGCAGCCCCATGTAAAAGGCATTGCAGTAGTCAAGCCATGAGGTGACCAGGGCATGAGTGACTGTCTGAAGGTGCCCCCCCCATTCTAGAAATGAGTGTTATAGCAGGTAAGATTATTTCTCATTCTAAGCCAGTTGTCTAACCTAACTTGGCAATGACTTCCAAGGACTTAAGCATAAATCTTCCTTGTCTCCTGCTTCGTCTGGGATCTCTATGTCAACTAAAGAGGCATAAAGTATGCTCTTGGTATCTGTTAGGCTTCCTGTCCCACTTGATTTTTACATTTTAAAACTTCTCAAAAGGATAGAAAGCTGGCATGTTACAAAACCCCCAACCTTTAATACCATCTTTAGTTTTAAGAATGACCCAAATAGGCCATAAAAGTTTTCTTAGAAAATAAAAACGAATGTGGCCACTGCATGTTCTGAAGGTGTATTCACTTCTACGGGTAAATAAATATAATTGGGAATATCCTGGGGTAAGTGGGGGCTGGAGTGGGTGACAGGCAGCATTCTGGTAAAGGATTTACCTCCGGATGGCCATTGGTGAGGGCACCCACCAGTCTGAAAAGGCTGGGTCCTCCATTATTAGGTGAACCATTTTTAAAGGGATGCACATGGGAGATGCCAGTGATTGAAGGTGGTGGGGACGTTTTGCATGCCATGTGCTCCATCACTGATGGAAACTCGTGGGTTGGAATTGAGGAGACTTGCCTTAGTTAAGGAGCCTAGCCTGATGATTTACATCGGGATTCCTCAACCTTGGCGACTTGAAGATGTATGGACTTCAACTCCCAGAATTCTGGGATTTGTAGTCCACACATCTTCAAGTTGCCAAGGTTGAGGAACCCTGATATACAGTACTGTAGGCTGAGAGCATTTTGGGGGTGGGGAAAGCAGTCATTCCAACAGTAACAGTTCTTGCCTTTGGCAGGTACTATAAAGCTTCTGGATTGGACAGACCTAGGGAAAGGGCCTGTGTTTAGTCCTTACTTGTTCAGTTAAACCTGCCTTCTGCATTTAGAGACACTAGATTTGGGAATATACAGGTTGTGATATGTTTACTACCAGGCTTAGTGGTAAACTGGAGAATGAAGTGCAAATAACATTGTGTCTTAGATCACATATTTAACCCTAGTTTATTGAATTAATTAGAATTAGCTGTGTTCAGACAACAGTCTTAGCCATGTGTTTTGCTTGGCTTTTAGCTTTGCTCTGTTATAATAACAGTAAGAATAATTACTTACTAATTACTTAATTAACAATAATTACACATCTAATAAGTGTGATGGCCAGAAATGAGAATGTTAAACTGTCAGCTGAGTACTTGGTTGAGGCATCTGAGAGATGCTGTTAAGACAGCTACTTTTAGCTGAAGAAACTTCTAGATTATTCTTTTTATTTATTTTACATTACTTTTTTCACTGAGATGAAACAAGCAGTATTTTCTACTCTTTAGGTTTGGCGGAAATAAATTACTTGCATGAGCTTCTCACAAGCATGGTTCACAGGAGGTGAGACAAATTCTTCTCTGTTTACAATGCCAGACATTCTGAAAAGGTCGCAAGATGTCTTGCCAAAGCTGGTGCCTTTTCTGTGACAATGCACTATGAAGGGGTAAGGATGAAGCAGCTGATGAAGGTGGAGTTTGATGGGGTAGCACAGAACATCATTGGAGGTGTAGGATGGTCTTTAAAAAGGAGGAGGAGTTTGAGATACAAAAATAGCATGACAGAGGCATACTGTGCTGTTGGTACATTGACTCATCTCAGCTACACCAGGTGGGATGCAGGAAATGGAGGCGTACACTAATGATGTGGTATTTTATCTCTCGAGCACATTCTTTTAAAGATTATTGATTAGAAACCCCATGACAACATAGGGCGGTGGCCAAAGTCTTGATGACTGGATTTTGAAATACTAAAGGATTGTGCATTACACAATCTTTGGGTGTGCAGCCCCATTGCCCCCCACTCCTACATCAAATTGGCTTTGTAACCCACAACTAGTTACTTGCAGAAGACTTCAGTCTGTTTTCATCTCTCTCCACATGGTTAGGAGTTACAGATTTCTTGCTCTTCCTGCTTGCTTTTTCTCCTTTTGGTTTTACCCCATCCTGCAGCTAACTGAAAGCTTTTTGCAGGGGTTCTCCAAGTAGCATCAGTTTTTCTTTTTATGCACAATCCCTTACACATGCAAAATAAAACAAGAGGGGAAGAAATTTTCAGAGCGATGGATTGAAGGGCCAGAATGAGCCCGTTTGGAGAATAAAAATACTCTCTTTGGCTTCATGCATTTTTCCTTCCACTAGATGATTGCATTGTTTTTGTCCTCTTTAGATTGGAATCAGACAAAAGCACACTCATTGACCAGGTTAATACATCGAGATGCCATCATTTTTAACGATGTTTTAAAAAATAAACCACAATTATGTTCACAAAACATGTTAAGTCACAAATATATAAAGATAACTGAGACATAGGGAACAAGTCTGGTTGAAGTACTGTCTTATTTGCAATGTATATTTGTAGAGTTGATGTATATTTGTAGACGTTGATGGTTTCAAATATGTGGTTTTGGACCCAGCTTGGGGGTTGTGGGGAAAATGTGCATCTTCCTCTTACAGCTTCTCAAATGCATTTTCTTAGGTTACAAGTATATCCACTCCACTCCATTGTCACATTGGAAGAACAGAATAATATATTTTTGGCTCCAGTTCCTGGTTATCGAAAAGTGAGTTTTTAATTAGTGAGTTAGTACTGTGATTTCTAATTTTGAAGGTGGACGGTAGGCAGCATCAGCTGAATTAGCTAGAAAAGACTTACAAAAATTCTTGCAGTAAAATATTGCCAGAGAAAAGGAAGAGGTGGATTGATTGACTGATTAATTAATGGCAGATCATCAATGAAATTCATGAAAATTTGATATCTTTAATCCTGTTTCCCCAAGTGCAAAATGGTAATAATTTTACATTTTAAATACTATACTTTTATAAGATGTTTTAAAGAAGAAATTAGTTGTTATTTTTATTTGGGATTCTATCTAGGTTTGGAGAAGCAGAATGTATAAGCTAATAGAAAAACACACAACTGTCTGTAATTGCATAAAATTATTGTAAATGAGATCAACAATTAGATTTTTAAAATTTCTTAAATCTTATTTTAAAACCTCCTTGTAGATCCTTCTGTCTACAAATATAGCAGAGAGCTCTGTAACAGTTCCAGATGTCAAATATGGTGCGTATGTCTTGTTATACCACAAGTCTGGCTTCACCAGTGATTAGAATCTTTAGAAATCTTTGTTTAGGACTAACTTTTGAAAATGCTATTTCTGTAACCCGGTTTTAAAGTGAAGGGCACAGTTGCTACAAACTGTTCCCTTTCTCCCCCAGCAGCTTTTCCAAAAGCACTTTTCTGTGCAAAAAATAAAATTCTGTTAAAGCCAACTGACATTTGTACAAAAAGAAGGGTGAGAACATGTTATTAATACTAATTATTATTAAATGATATTCATTTATGACCATTGTTAGTAGCTCTTTGGATTAAATTAGATAAAGAATTTTAATTTGTTTTAATTAATTCAGTTTTTGTAATAACAAGGGCAATGCTTATGGTTATCTTTGGCAAACACCAAAGAGATAAGAAAGGACAGAAATTCAGTGAATCTTGCCAATAGATTATATTCTGCACTATTTTGCAGGGTAGTGCTGTTACTCTTTCAGTTAGATTTATGGAGATTTTATTCACTTAACATATACAGTACTGTAGTTTTAGCACAATACTGAATGGAGATCAGAAAGCTATTGAAGCTTTTTAGTGTTGCTGTTCCTTTTTAATGAGATGGTTTCTTCTACTTTTTTCTTCTGCAATCCAAGAATGGGATGGTGATAACATTAAATTGTACCTCAACTGGTTTCTGTTTCCTTTATTTGCATTTTAATTATTGGTTTTGCTTTCTAAAAATTTTTTTAAAAAGCAATTAAATGGAAGAAGTCATAGGAAGGAATCTTCTAATTAAAGTTACAAAACACTCTTGCTGAATTCAAGAGACACTTCTGAGTTAAATTACAGAAAGCCATGAGGGATTTCAGATAACATTGCAGTATAATTAAAACTACTATCTTAATTTATCTGGTTGCAGAAAAACAATGTCACCCTAGCAGGGAAAGATTCTAAAATAGGTCGTATTTGTCCTTCCCCCATAGCTACTCCATAATTCCATCCTATTATTTTAGGATTTTGCCCCTTCATTTAATTGAGTTGGGAGAACCATGAACTATGTTCCAACAAAGTGGAACTGAATCTAATTTCTTTTTAAAGTACTTCAGGAAGTTCTAATATAATTCCTATCTATTTGTATCTTTTGCTTTTATTCTACAGTCATTGATTTTTGTTTGACTAGAAATCTGGTTTGTGATGAAGATACCAACTATCAGAGTTTGAGGCTTTGTTGGGCATCTAAGAACAGCTGCAATCAGAGGAGGGGTAAGGGATTTCATTGTATAAAATTCCAGGTCTCTTGGAGGCCCCAATCCTGAAAATTATTTTATGTGTGAAGTGTGTCTTACATACGTGCAGTGAAGCTATTTACTTAATCGGCAATTCTTTGCAGTGCTTGAAATACATTAAGACATAGGTGCTTGCTCTTTCTACTGATCGTTTAAGTAACCACATAGGTATTTCAGAAATAAAAACAGTGATGATCAGATGGCCAACCCACTTTAAACAACAAAGCAATTTAACCTCTCTCTATAGAGTGTGTGTACATGTGGTGGAGTGAGGGGGGGAGTTCCTTCCCCATCATTAAGTCTTTATCCAAAGGTTGGCACAATTGTGATAGTCTTCAATTTCAGACAACTGTCTGTGAAAACTATTAAGCAGTGAGCAGTGGAACAGCTTGGCTCCTGAAGTCATGGGTGCTCCATTCCTGGAAGAGATTGGACAGCCATTTGTCCAGGTGGATATGAGGATTCCTGCAATAGCCAGGGAGTTGGACTAACTCCAAGACCAACTCCATGGTCCCTTCCAACTCTATAATTCTACATTTGCAGTACAGTGATTTATGCTTAAGGGCAGTGTTATTCCTGAAATGTGTTATGTGTTAATTTAAATTATCTTGTATTAAGTAAAAAAAAAAAAATGGTGAGCCTTGTAACAATATGTCTTAAATCATTATCTCACAGTCATTGTATCGTGGAATGTTTTGCTAATAATGAAAATATCAGAATTTATTGAACCTGTCATCTACTGGAGTCAATATTTTAAATCCATCTTAATGCACTGCTGCCCATCAGAACTTTTGGAATGGAATGTTTCAATTTCACAAAGTTTGGCACATTTCTGCCAGCTGTTCTTCCTGTATCAGTCTTAGAACAGTCTCCTGAGGCCTCCCTGTTGATGATCCTTTAATGATTCCAGAAGCTATTACTGTAGTGAGGCTTTGATTGCAAGCAAGCAATCAGCATGTCCAATGCTGGTCCCTGTCGCCATTATTAAATGTAAGTGGTATTGCAGCTTTTGAATTGTGTTTTTCTTTAATGTCAAGGTCGAGCTGGCCGCGTCTCTAAAGGATACTGCTACAGACTAGTATACAAGGACTTCTGGGCAAGCTATATACCAGAGAGCACTATTCCTGAGATGATGGTAAGAATAACATACACCATTTGCATGTCTTTAGACTGGGAAGACCAGTTATAATTTTGGTGACTACAAAAGAGTTGCCATTATAGTTAAGAACAACCAGTGACAGGAACTGATGAGAACTCTTTGATAACACATGGAAGGATGATAAAAGGACAGTTTTAGATTCTGACATTCTTAGGAACAGTTGATATAGAAAACACACAATGTTTGGCTATAACTAACCCATCAGCAAACAATTGTTACCTAAATCTAGGACATTCAGTAGAAAGCTCTGAAAGAGAAATATTTTTTTCTGCCTGTGATTGATTTTTTGTATTCACTCATTGTAACAAATTGACTGAGAAAAGGCATGTACCTTACTGGAAAAATTTAGGTAGTGCTTCGACATGTTCTCATGGCTCAGAGTCATTGAGAGTTGGGCAGCATACAAATTTAATTTATTGTTATTATTTAAACAGTGCTTCAAATAGTACAAACTATTTCCTAGAGCCTGCTGACCTGTCCCTTTCTTCTGTTGTGTCTCATTGTGCCTTCTCAAGATTCCAAACCCTTAACGAACGGTAAAAGAAAGTAGTCCCTGCTATATGTTTCCCATAAAAAAAGGAATAATCCATTTTATGAATTACTGATGAAAAGAAAATGTGTGTGTGTGTATAATTAAATGTTATTATAAAAAACTTTTTGTGTTCAATAACATAATTACCTTTTAATCTTACTTAAATTTACAATAAGTAATACTCTCAGATTGTCAGTCCCTTGCTTATAACAAATAAATCCTGCTTGATCAGGTTGTATCAGGTATGTTAGTACCACCTGCAATTGGCTTGCAAGAATCCTAGGTAATATTTTAATGCTTCATTATCTAATAAATTGGGTCTATTATTAGCACAGTTCTCAATATAGACAAGTTTGTAATGGGAGAAGTGATTCTTCAGATACTCAGATCATAAACAATTTAAGGCTTTCCAGGATTAATACCAATACCTGAAATTCTGCCTATTAAGCAGTCGGAAACTAATGCAGATACTCTAATAAAAGCATTACATAATCCGTTTGACTGGTTATGTGCCATCAAGCCATTTTCAACTCCTAGCGACCACATAGATATTCTCCATGTTGATCTATTGCTAACCTTGTTTTCAGGTCTTCCAACAATGCACCCATCGCTACTGTAACTGAGTCCATCCACTTTGCTGCTGGTTGTCCTCTTCTCTTTCCTTCCACCTTTCCCAGCATTAGAGCCTTTTCCAGAGAGCTGGATCTTTGCATAATGTGTCCAATGTAGGGTAAATTGACTGGTCATTTGTGCTTTGAGAACTCTGGGTGGATTTGTTTGTTTTCTTGGCTGTCCATGGTATCCTTAGTCTTCTCCAACACCAAAGTTCAAAAGCATACTTCTTCTGTCCTGCTTCTTCAGAGTCCAATATAATCCATGTACCTTGCATAAATTAGCCCCAGTTTGTCACATTTTGGACCAGTCCTGTATCCTTCTGTGCAGAACTTTTGTATAACTTCTGTACCCTTTTCAAGGGTAGCCTTGTAATGAGTGCATTGCTGCCATCAAGACTATGGTGACAGGTTTGTGGAGTTTGTTTTTCTAGAGCTGGGCAATCAAATTTTGTAAATAGTCTGTCTTCGTTCTCAGGGCACATTCTCAGAAGGACACGGCAGTTGACTTTTCCCTTTATTCCTTTTTGGCTGCTGCAGTTTGTAGGAAGTTTTGCTTTAATGTTCATCTTTGCAGTCACAAAATTCATCCTTCTTACAGGTGGCATTTTTACCTTGATCATTTTCTTTTGTTGTGTCTTGGATAGCTGTAGTTGCCCATTTGGAGCTGAGCAGCAAGATGGAAGCCACATCTTGTTAGAGCATGCAAGTAGAGGGCTGAGACTGGGCTTCTGGTCAAAATTTTCATCATTTAGTGTCAAGGAAGTGAGAACCATACAGAATTCACATCAACGGAACAGAGAACGTTGTGTGGTTCTCACCTCTTGGGTTGCTAGTTATGTGGCTTCCATCTTGCTGCTCAGTTCTTTAGTACTAGTCAGGAGTAATAACATCATCTTGAAAACTGTAGATTTAAGTTCCCAGGCAGCCTTACAGCAAGTGAACTAAGGCAAAGTCTCTTTGAAACATTTCCTTCCCATAGCCTTACACATCTGGGTGTGCTGAACTCCCCCATCTGCTTCTCACAGTCTTTCACATCATCCTTTAGAAAGAGATACTATTCCTGCTTATTGAATAAAAAACATATCAGGAATTAGTTACTGTGTCTAGATGATCTATAGGCTGGGCATACCGTAAAAGCAAATAGCTTTACTAGCTACTACTAATTTTCTGTTAAAAAAAATCACAAGAGTATCCTTGCAGAATTGTGGAGTGTCAAACACATGCCATTTATTTTTCCTTTTAGCGTTGCCCGTTGGAAACTACTGTACTAAAAGTGAAGCTGCTTGACATGGGAGAACCAAGAGCTTTGTTAGCAACAGCTCTCTCTCCTCCTATTATCAGTGATATTGAACGCACAATTCTGCACCTTAAAGAGGTGAGTGTTTTATTAGTTAAAATAAATGCACTTAGTTCTTTTCAGTTTAACTATTTTGCAAAAACCAAGCCATGCGCTCGCTTAATTGGTGAACTGAAAAGTTGAATAATCCATGACTTTGGTAATTTGTATATGTTGTGTCACTGTAAATCAGCCTACCTCAGTCTGGTGCCACCTGTTGAGCATGGATAACCAATTCCCAGAATTAAGTTTTGGGAGGTTACTCTGAATAATTAAGAATGAAATCAGGTCTCAGAGAATGAGACCATATGCTTCAGAAAAAGGTCTACTCTTTTCTTTAGTCAATACATATGTGCATACAACATGGTGGGCTGCAAATTGTGCTAGCCTGACATCATTTGCTACTAAACTTTGAATGTAACTTTTAGCTAAAGGCTAGTCTTAAAAGTCATGATTGTTGGGACTCATTCTCCCATTAATATTATTATTGCTTTTGTTTTGGAATAGTTAGGGGCACTTGCTGTTGATCATTCTGAAGAAAGAAACCCTTACGATGGTAAGCTGACCTTTCTAGGAAAGGTGCTGGCACAGTTACCTGTGAATCAGCACCTAGGCAAACTAATAGTTCTTGGACATGTCTTTGGATGCCTGGAAGAAACACTTATAATAGGTGAGTCAACAAATACAGACATTTCTCAGCTTAGGTTAATAATAACTTACAAACTGATCACAATAGAAAAATAAGAACAAGGCAAATCTTTAAACCCAGAAATGCATGATTGTAGCCAAAGAGCCACCTAATATAAAAATAAAGTGGTTGAAAACAATGCACTGAAACTGATGAAAGAAATCTGTTAAATTCAGTGATGCTGGAAGGGAGATACTGATGTAATGAGGGATGGATACACATTTCTTCTTCATCCTAGTGTTTTCCCACAGGCACAGGGTCCGTTTTTCAGATCAGTGAACTCCATTTCATGTGATCAAACGCAGCAACCAGGTCCAACTGTATAATTTTCACGTCCACATTAATTGTGTCCTGCCACCTTTGCTTTAGTCTTCTGCATGGGCATTTGCCATCAGTGTTAAGGTGGTAGGCAGTGCAGGTGACGGTGTGGGATACTGCTTGTAGAACATGGCCATACCACTGTGGACATTTTCCCTGCATTTTCTCTGTTATTGGTGGAACACCCATCTGCTGCTGGACTGTATTCTTGCTGATGTGGTCAAGAAAGGAAGCGCCCAATGACCAACAGAGGATGTGCATCTCAGTGGCATGTAAAGGACGCTCAACACTTTTAGTGGTTGAACAGCACTCAGTGCCATACAGTGCTACTGGGTGGACCATCATTCTGTACACTTTCGAGTTTACATGGATTGGCATGTGCTTATTGCAGAGTGCTCCAGTGGTCTCCTTCCACTGCAATCATGTTGCATTCACCCTCGTGCACTTCCTCATTAATGCCACTGTCACTTTGCAGATGGGATCCTAAGTAACTGAAGCAGTTTGTCTTCACTAGATCTTCGCCACTGACCTGGATAGTGGAGGTGCTCGGTCTAGTCTCTAGATACTCAGTTTTCTTGATATTAGTATTAACAATATTAGTATTGTTTTAATTCTGGATGTATTATGTGTTTTAGATATACTTATAGTTTTAATGTTTTTTGTAAGTTGCCCAGAGTCCCCTGTTGTGGGGGAGATGGGCGGGGGAGAAATCCAACAAATAAATAAATAAATAAAATATTGAGGTGCAAATCAAATTGGCTAAGACGGTCGTTCCATGTCTGGACGGAGTGCTGTAATTCTTCCCTGGTGGTAGTTGTGAGCAAAACATCGTCGGCCTAGAGCAAGGCCCAGGGGGCACTGTGTTGCAGGTCTCACATGACGGTATCCATGACGAGAATGGTGATAATGCCAAGCCTTGGTGCCCACCACCGTTCACAGGAAAGCTGTCAGAAAGGCTGGCAGTGCATCTCACTCAGTTGCTGGTATTAACGTAGAGCATCTGGATTCATTTTATGAGTAGCTCAGGCGCACCATGGTCACGTAGCGCATTCCAGATCAGCTGATGCGGGACATGGTCAAAAGCTTTTTCTAGGTTGAGGTGTAATGACTTCTTTTCTGTATGCTTCTCTGTGAGTATGTGAGGTGTGAAAATGGCATTGGTGGTACTCAAGTCTTTG